TTATTTAACATATTTTCAGGCGAGAATGTAGCTGTGTAAACCTCAAATATCTGCTCAGTTTATCAGGACACCACATATTTTCAAAAGCGCTCCGACGTTTTCGGAGACGTCTGTTACCCACTAGCTCGATAGCTAGCCGGGGGCTAGGTCACTAGCGCCGTGAGAACACCGGACTCCCGGCAAATCGTTTTCAAACCCACCGCCGTCTTTCGCTACTCAGGTTAAACATGATATATGAGTCACTTAGATAACTTAAAAATGTTATTGTTTGGCTTTTTTCAGTATTTTATTTGTTCCTGAGTAAATCGGTTTGGCTGAGATTAAAGTTATAGTTTTTACACAGCTGAATAAACGTCAAGCAGACAGCTGATTATCAGAAGTGTGAGATGCTCCAGAATTTACTCCGGTGTCCTGTTATATTTTAGATAGCAAGGAGTTTATTAAACTCTCCCTAACTTATTAAACTTAGCTTGCGGTTGGCAAGTTCTAGTTTATTACAGCATGAATATTGTCTTTAATGCGAAGTCTTCACAAAATAAAACGAACCCCACTAAAGAGGAAATCAAACCAGTGTTGGATTTAAACGGACTAAACATAGCAGGTGTGAAAACGCCCTGAGACTCATATGCCTCTATCTCTGGAACTTTCACTACTCATCTCAAAACTTTAAGAAATAAATTCGACAGTTTGAATTCCTATAAATATAAGGACATGTCACAGTGGATAGAACTGTGTGGTGCGCAGGGCCCGGAGTCAGAAGAAGACAGTGAAAGCAAAACCAGATACAAGACAAATGACCATAAAACAGCGTGGTAGTGTTTTCTTGCTCTTTGTGTGTTTGCATGCGTTTACGTGTGAGTGGAAATCCAGACAGTGTGTGTGTCAAAGCAGTGTCACGATCACAGATTGCAGACCCATCGCTGCTTTGCTGAGGAGACTTAGTTGGCACTGGTTACACTGACCATGCTCCGTGTGTGTGTGCGTGCATGTGTGCGCGTGCGTTCCACTGTGTACTTGTATGGATGTATGAACGTTTGTCGCGGCCTTGTCAAATCAGCCATGACTCTGCCTACTGCGTGTGTGCCAACCAGGGGTGACCTTATTCTCTGTGTGTGCGCTTGGGAATGTGTGTGTATATGCGTGCCGTGCTGCAGGCAGGGAAAGTCCCTGTCTTCACTGTGCTGGGGAGTTGGAGGGGACACCTCGTTCATCTGTGCTTGGGTGAATTTGTGTCATTGTGGGAGTTTCCCATCAGATTGAGAGGGGTTGATGTTCTACATCAGTTTGATCACACTTTTCTAACGTCTGACTTCACGCTTTTAGTATTCGACTTCTGCATTTTGTAAGCACCAAACAGTGTGTGAATTGTCATCGGGAAATAACTCAAAGGCTCAGAAGGGAGCTGTGACACCTGCATTTGCTTGTTTCCCTTGCATTTTCTCTCTTTTGGCCTGGCATACATGTGTGACGACATGTTGAAGTCTTCTAATGAACTGGATAATTTGCCAGATGGAGATATAATCTTGGCAAATGATACCTAAAGTACTACATTACTGTCATTGATCTACTGTATAATGTAGGAATGCTGAAACATTGCTGTACATACAGGGATTTTTAATGTATAGTCATCTATCTTACACTTACGTGATCATCAGCCTGCTGGGAGTATCGGGACATTTCGCCTGGGGGTTGTTTTGGCCTGCCGTGAACAGTAAGAAGGAATGAGTATCAGGACAACACTCTGAGTCGCGCAGCAGCAATGTTCACAAGTTTGTGAGCTAAAAATGCACATGAATCCGTGCGTGTAGGCCTCTCCCTGAAGGCAGGCAGTGTCTACTTTCTGCTCTACAGATAACAGAAACAAACGTCTTTGTGAAGTTCAAGACGACGTTATATCGTCAGCACAGTAAAGTCAGAGCATACCCTGCTGTAGGGCTCTGTCTGGCTCTAAATACAAAATGAACACCCTTAAATAAGAGCTTAAATCAGGAAAGTGTTTACTGAGGTCATAGGTCACGCCAGAAGTAGGGTCAGTATAGTATATGATGCAGTGTTTTATCCAGTAACTGAGAATGGTGCTCAATATGTTTTATTTAAAGACACTGTATTTCTAATTGATGTTATTGCATCTCAGTCTATCAGCACTGAAGCAAGCCTTGCTCTACTTTCCTTAACATATATTAAACAGATACGATCCTCCATGAAAAGTCCCTTAGAGCATCTCCCTGCAGTAAATCTGCTTTTCTCCATACGTGCTTGTTAATTAGCTCTGTTCCATATCTTGCTGTGTGTTTCTAATGCCAAACAGATCTCATGTCCTCCCTCTCTCTCTCCCAGCACTGTCCAGAGCTGTACGAGAGCTAATTGGCAGCTCGCTTGCCTGCCGCGACGGTGATCATGCAAATGTATTGGTGCTTACCAATAGCCGGGCCCATCAAAACATTACGACGGCCATTACCCAGAGCTGGGGCTGGCCTAACGAACATATGCTCCCCCGCCCGACAACCTCCCCCCAATTCCTAAACTCTTATTTATGTGTTTAATTTAATGTGCGAGGGAAGAATTTCCGAAATTAAATTTGGTTTTCGTTGGTGCCTCAAGAGAGTGGCAGCGTTATAATAACATGGTAATTTTTTACACGTCTTTATGAGAAATGAGAAAATTAATTCTTTCTGACAAGCTGTAATTATTGGGCTTGGAACAGTTGCAGCTGAACAGTTTGGGCTGTGGTAGCCTGGCAGTGAGCTGAAAGAGGGAGAGAGAGAGAGAAAAGGGGGGTGGAGGAGAGAGAGAATGGAAACACAGTGAGACCGAAAGGGAGAGAAAGAGTTTAGTAGTGAAGCCAGAATTGTATACAGTCACAAAGGAGAGAGACAGAGGGAGAGAAAATGGGAGGAGAATGATGATAATGATCCACAAGGGCAAAGGAGAGGCCAGTAAGGTGGTGGAAGACCCGGGGTGTGAGGGGACAAAGTTGAAAGAAATGAAGAAAAAAAGAGGACAAGCTGAAAGATGTAAGGTGAAGATGAAAGGGGCAGAGTTGGTTCAGTCAGGATAAATACGAGTAGGCACAGGAGGTGAGGGTTGGGTGAAAAATGGAGAGAAGAGAAGTTGATGAAATTAGAAGAAAAAGACTAAACAAAAGGGCGAGGGTTAGAGGGGAAAAAAACAGCAGCAGCGTGATCAGCTGGATAGTAGCATAGTATAGATGAGGGGAGAAGGGCAGAGTGTGCATGCTTTGGAGGGATAAGTTGAGAGGAGACAAGGTTATAAGAAGTTATGATAGAGGGGGTTGAAAGTGGAAGAAGATGGAGTTAATGCAGAGCACTCGAGGTTAGACAAAAGGAAGAAATAGAAGGTAAGCGGTAGTAGGTGATGAAGAGTAAAAGATATGATGGTGATACAATACAGGAGAGAAGATGAGGATGAAAGGCAAAAAGGAATGTGGATGGGGAGGGAAGGAATGTGAGGAGGACAGGTTGGATTAAAGAAAGAGAAGTGCAGGAAGAAAAGCAGAAGATTTACTGAGGAGAAAGTAGAATGCTAGTAGTAGCTAATGGTTCAGCAGGTGTGAGGAAAGAAGGGAATGGGTTGATGATGTGTGTGAGCGCGCAGTGTTTGGTTGGGAGGGATAAGAGTTGTTTGACAAACTCAAGAGAAGAAGAGTTATGAATCACTGGAGAGGTACACAGATGGCACAGTATGAGGGACGGGAGGTACTGATGGAGGTGGAGGAGGGTGTTGCGTTAAAGGAAAGAAAAAGACAGGAACGGGATAGAATATAGGAGTCGGGAGGGGGGTGGAG